CGCATAATCCAGTCCACCACAATAAGAAATATCATTGGTGATAGTAAGCACCCTTGTCTGACTCCTGTGTTTACTCTTAACGCCTCGCTGAGTCTTCCGTTGTGGATCACTTGGCAGGTGCCGTTGTAGTACAGCTGTTGAATAAGGTTGATGAATATTTGGGGTACACCATAGTACTCGAGTAATTTCCAAATTACTTCGCGGTCAACGCTGTCGAAGGCCTTCTCAAAGTCTATAAAGTTGAGGTAGAGGTTTGATTGCCATTCCATGCTTTGTTTTGTGATGATGTTGCGTAGAGTTGCAATTTGGTCAGAACATGATTTGCCTTTCCTGAATCCAGCTTGTTCTGGTCGGTGTTCCGTCTCCAGTGCGTCCTTTAATCTCTCCAGGATGATGCGACTCAGGATTTTACTTGACGTCGATAGAAGCATGATTCCTCACCAGTTCATGCAGACTGAGTCTTAAGTCGCCTTTTTTTGGTAGTTTCACGAGGTAACCTTTCCTTCAGTCAGTAGACACCTTTCCCTCCTTCCAGACCTTTTGCAATAATGGAGTCAGCATGTCTGCTGTCGTCTCTGGGTCTGCTTTCAGTGCTTCAGGGAGTATTCCATCTGGTCCGGCTGTTTTTCCACCTTTCAGAAGTTTGATTGCGTTCAAGACTTCAGCTCTTGTTGGAGGATTGGTGTCAACTTGCAGTCGTGTGCGCGCTGTTGTTGGTATTTCTGGACGGGTTGCAGGTGATGGTCGGTTCAAGAGTCTTTTGAAGTGATCCGCCCATTGTTTAATCTGTTTTTCTTCCTGCAACTACCACTAGCACTTTATATTCTAGATATGTTGTCTTTCATTTTCTATAGCTGCTTTATTGATTGTTTTCCGTATTCCAACCATCTTTATCAACAGCAGCTTTACCAGTTAAATATTATCTACTACAACTCTGCACTCTACACTACACATGCTAATTGTATCTATTGTTATAGGTGTCACATGCCACGGTACTAAATTATTAGACACTTGATATAGTAAAACAGTTCACATCAAGAATATTTACAATACCTTTTTCTCCATACTTTATTACATAGACTACTTAAGAACAATACACGTCAATTTTATGAAGAGACAAATTAGTAGATGATGCGTGATACATAATGTTATTATTGAAAAAAATATATACATTAGTTTACAACTTTTGAAGTGAAATCCCCAGCGCAAGTTCTGGCTACTAAGTGGTGTCTAAGTAGTATTTATGTAAAATGAAAAGACAGACATGATTAATTGTAATTCTCAATGCACACAACGTACAAAGATATTTTTTCTGATTACAACATCCAGTTAGTTACTAGAAAAATGTTTCGCTTAACGTTCTACGTTAGGAAACTTAGGCAGTCTGGCATAAAGTAGTCTTTGCTTTCTCAGTTTTTTAATCCTTGTATTCTACCCATCCCCCTTTACTGTTCCCCATTGATCTTTCCTGGACTACTTAAGAATGACTTTGTTTTGCTGAGAAGGGCACTAAAAGCCGTTAGTAGAGCAAGTGGGATAGCGTTAAACCAACTGGTTAACACTATTGTGGATAGACATATTATGTCATGTAAGAAACTAGCGAATACAATATTGTCAGACCCCGAGCATCCTCTCTCTATACACAGCTATCTCCTTGCCTTTCATCTGGTAGAACTAGAAGCAGCTATAGGAGGCTGGCTATATGCTAGGACTACCAAGTACAAAAACCCCACAATACCATATATGGCACAGCTGTCATTTGATGAGAAATCCGTTAGGTATGACACGATCAACTTACTGTGGCACTCTAACAAATAGTCCCATTGTAACAACAGAAGACAAGGGCCAGGCAACAGATCGTTTTATTATGAAAATCAACACGTATTTATACATCTTTCAACTACATTATTATAGACAAGCGCAGTCATCTGATTGGTTGTTTAGGTAGACAAACGCAGGCTTCTGATTGGTTGTTTCGGGATTCCTTGACAAATAGAGTTCTCTCTGCGAATCATATTCTGCCACGTTAACTTTGCTGTGATTGGTGTTGACTCAGGCTTGTTCATATTTTCTCACGGCCCATATTAGTGACCTAGACCTTAACGTAGATTAGTGCCAACCAATCGGCTAGCAGCCTGCTCTCACCACACCATTAGTTTTTTGTTTTCCTTTCCTCGTTACTATTACACTGTTGTTCTTATCTTCTATTACACACCAATTTTATACTTCATATCCTGTGGTGCATTGTCTAAAAAGTAAACGCAACGCTGTTCTTTTTATTCATTTTTTTTATTTATCTTTTTTTGTGTTGCTTTTTGATTTTAAAATCTTATAGAATTTATGAGGTAATTAGAGGCAATATAGTGTAATGCACGCTGAAAATTCCATACCTGTACCACAAATACTGTTTGGAATAAAGCTGTTATTGTTATTATTATTATATGTATGTATGAAGATTAGAGATTCAACTAATTTAAAAGAGTTATTACTTAGTGCAAATAATTTTATGATTTTTGAAAAGAGTATTATTATTATTATTATTATAGAGCATTCGAAGAGATAATAACTTTATTCATGTCACTATTAATGCTATGCAGGGGTGTACCATAGAGTCTTAGACACAATTAGCTTTTAACTAGTGAATCTGTATTTCAAATGAAGCATTACCTACTCTAGCTTGGGTAGCTTCAAACATCAAGTCTAGTTCGTAACCTATAGCATATAAAATCTTCTGCTGGGTAATTCCCACTAAGAAAACTATCATTTTATTGGGATCGGTGCAGATATCCTCTTATTACCCTGACAGGATTAACAACCACACGACTGACTGACTGGTTTCAACACAGAACTTCGCACAGATGTGCACCAGTTCCACTTGCCACACTCCATGTAGCACACAAAGCAAGAGAAGAGAGTAAAGTGACATACTAAACAGAGATAATAAACAGAAGTGTGATGCAAAAAGAATAGTAATGTGGAAGAACAATAGAACTTTATTGGATATTATAAATCACAAGGAGTAAGTGCATCTGCGTCATTGAGAAAAATTTTGAGCTATATCACCGATTGTTTCCAGCCATTCGTTTTCACCATCCCGAGGAACCCAACCAAGAAGTCTACACCTTCCTACTTGGCTTAGACTAACTGTTGTGGATTTCATTGACTGGTGCTATGTTTTGTCTTGACCGCCACTAACTCTTTTCCAACCTGATACATCCTATGTCAGCTAACACCGCCCATTGTCGAGGAAGGCGATGACTAGGAAGGCATGCGTAACACATGTCCCAACCATCTCATTCGGTGTAACTTCACGACCTCGTTGATTGATTTCACCTCCTTACTTAGCACTCGGCTGAAGCCTAACCTCAGTACTGCTCACCTTATTATACAAATTCACATGGGAGATAGAACCCAGACACCTTTGATTAAAGACAGCTAGCCAGCCTTTTCATGTTTTCAACTTTCAATGGCCATTTCTCACAGCCAAAAAAGAGGACGAAGCGGACTGATGAGCAGTACATACGCTTTTCGGTCAACAGCTAACAGGATATCATGTCTACGCCAGAGACGGAGTAAGTCAGCATATACCAAACGAGCCTTCTGTATCCGTGATGAGATTTCGTCAGCGATCTACCCGTTAGGGATGAGAATTCTGGCCCAGAGTTCCATAAATAAAGACAAGCTGAGAATCACAAGGTTACAAAACATCAAGACGATTGTAACTATACGGCCGTGTTTGAACTCAATTCGTGTAACAGGTTTTCTATGTTATGAACCACATTTACTGTGCGCTGATGGGCTAAGAAGCAGTTGCTCAGTTTGATGTAGGTGGAGTGAGGTTCGGACCCACGACCTATTTGGCTGGAAATCAGGTGCTTACGCTAATAAGCCACATCATCACACTACACATCCACATACAATGCACAGCGTACATGATTACAAGAAACAAAAGTATTCTCACATTCCTGTTGCAAGGATATTTACCTCCAATAAGGCTCGAATAGTCTGTAAAAAACTAAACTAGTTGCCTTGGCTAAAAATAAGTCTACTAGCTAAACAATTATATCAATCATGGAATAATACCCAAACCACACAGACTTCTGATAACGTTGTAAACCTAAACCCGAAAAGTCACCAAGTATTTGTGTCAGGTAATGGTAGTATTGATCGTTTTTAACTTCACCGATTATATAGTATTAGACGGCAAGAGAGGTGTAAAATACATGAAACACACCTTAATTAAAAACTACAATTACAAATACAAGTCAAGAATATCGGCATTCTTACACTGAAAACTAATTGAAGAGTGATATGTGTCCATATATATATATATATATATATATATATATATATATATATATATGGTGGTCTCTCTTTCTATTGCTCTCTTAGTCTGTGACCATTTCACTTTGATGAACCTGTCTCCTTTAACAATGTATATTCCCCTTATATTATATTATATAATATATATATATATATATATATATATAATATATATAATATGTGTGTTTGTTGACATGTCTGCTATATTTTGCTATGTATATATGGATCGATACTCCATTATAATTAGCCAATCATGTTAAGACTGTCTATTGATTTGTTCACACACTTGTTCGGACATTCATATATATATATATTTGCTCTCACACTCTTGTGTGATTTGATTCTCCTTGTGTTTGGAAAATAGAAGTATCATCGCAAACCTAGTGGTCTTCTGATTTCCGTCTTTCTTGCGTCAGGACTATTACATTCTCGACCAGTACATAACAATAATTTGGCGACGAGCACATAACAAAGAGTTAACCTTTTAAAGTCTTGAATCTAAACAACATAAACTGATCAGTCATTTACATAGCAATAAATTCAATAAATTCTCTAGATAATCTTAAAGTTGCCTGTAAATAAAATTAGTAGAATTCAATTGTTATGGCAGTGAAATGTATAACCCCTGTACAGTTCATAGAATTCACGAAAATACGAAATAAGAAATCATTACTTACTGATTGAGTAATTCTCCTTCTTCAGATTCACCACCAACTACATATATCCAATTAAGAGAAGATGCCATAGCATGATGTACTCTGGAGGCAGCATATGGAGGTGGATACACTGTGGCAACGCTTAAATCCTCATTGTACACCACAAATTCATTAGTTTGTGATCCATAAGACATCAAAGTACTCTGCAATAATAAAAAAATGTCGATTAATGGTCCTAGTATTACCATTTAAACACAAATATTAAAACAATATGGCCAGCGAAAAATGCACCATATAAAGTAAAGCATTAAAAATACAACAAAAAGAGAAATAATGGGATGAAACAAGTAAGCACACTTATTTATTACATTCAAAGAATTTTTAGAAGTAGAAAACGGTAGACGACATAGGAACTTATGAAATGACATTCTTTGCACATATTGAAGCCAGTGGGGTTAGTGTTGATATCATTTGAAAATCAACCGACCACCATTTTGTTCATAGCCATGCCAACGGATGCCAGTAATACTTACAAGTTGTTGACACCGGACGAATACACATAGAGTTAGTTACCATACAAACCTTTGACGGAGAAAATAATGCCACGATGGTGCCAGAAGTGATCGCCACTGGTGCAGGAATCTCTGATTTTTTCTGCACAACTCGAAACTTTATCCGGCGTATCTCTGTCAGAATTATCCAGACAGACAAACGTACTGTTTCCTTCTAAAGTTTCGCCTACAAGGACGGGTGGGTAATGGGCCCCTGGCAGTCTTGCGACAATACTTCGCACTTAGACGACATAACATTCTTATAGATGCTGATTAACTTATTATGTCAAACATATATTTATATCCGCATTCTTTAAAATAGTACGCCTTACAATAACACAAAAGAGCATTACTATAGAGAGAAAGGATTGCGAGCAATTTGATAAAGAGTAGTGAGATGTTCAAGTTTTAATTAGTAATTATGAAAATCCGTTGAGTAGAATGTGCTAACATTCATACTCAGTTAGCCATCCTCAACTATTAAAGCGTTATAATGAACATACAACAATACATGTTGAAATAACAAATTATTCACTTACATTATTTGAATCGCTTTCCCCACCAAGTGCATAGACTCGATAGACAGTTCCAACTCTTGCTCGATATTGTTTAGGATCCATAAGTGAACTACTTAAATATTGATAATCTCTAAAGTTTGCTGTTGTATAATTATCTAATTCATTGAGAAATGATGGATGATTTAAACAACTATGAGCCAAAAATAAAAATTGCAAAGCATCATTGGCTAGACGATATTTTGGATTGCCGATTATCTCCAGTAGTTCACGTCTAGTTAGCTAGACGATTAGAAAACATTTTAAAAAAATGAATAAGTAAATAGGAGACAATGAAAATTGAAGTCATTTTCTTTGATTATTATTATATCCTTTGATTCCTAGAGGAACATAGGGCTTCAGCTGCGCGTCTCTATTGCCTACGGTTTTCTGCCAACTTTTTCACCCCACTCCAAGTCGGCCCACATGCTTTCATCTCCTCTTCACATGACCTCTTCCAAGTCACCCTCGCACTGACGACCAACTCACCGCTTCCCTTTCAGGTTCCACTCGAGCAATGGCTTGTCTAGTGATGTCACTTGACGGTTTCCTCAGAGTATGGCCACCCAATCCAACTCCATTTCTTCCTGCCTATTTGTTTCACAATCGGTTCCTGATGGGTTGGTTCGCTCATTGCCAGAGATCACACCCTGTTTCTGATCTTCTCTGGCCGGCCATCTGATCTTGAGTGGTATTGAGCGAAGACAACTGTTAATGAAGGTCTGAAGTTTGTTTGAGATGCTCTTTATGACGCGCTGGCCAAGTCTCTGATCCGAATAGTGAGTAGCACTGACTTTACATTGGAGTTGAAAATCCGGATCTTATTTTCATTTTGATGGTGAGTGATGTTGACTTCCACACAGACTTAAGGGTAATGAAAGCTTGTCTTGCTTTTCCGATTCCGGCTTTGATATCCTCGTCAGTTCCGTTAGCCTGTAGTTGAAACGATGCTTCCCAGGTAGGTATAGGAGGTTGTTTGTTTCAGGTTCCTCCCATTTATGCTGGCTGATTGTTATCTATTGTCCTTATTGCTATTGGTGTTAGCCAGGAATCTTCATCACCTCTGTTTTATCTATGTTCACATGAAAGAAGTCCTATCCTTGATCCTTCTTCCTATGTCAACTTGTTGATTTTCACTTGCATATCTTCCTGTTTGTGGGAAATCAGACATATATCATCGGCGAAGTCCAGATCCTCAAAGTCTCTTTTTGTGTGAGTCCATTTTATGCCTGTTTCTCCATTGCCCGTTGTCTGTCTCATTATTCAATCTACTGCAATCAGGAAGATCATTGGCGATAGTAGACAACCTTACCTCACTCCCGTTCTCACTTCGAAGGCTTCCGTAAGTTTCCCGTTGTGGATTACTTGGAATGCAGCATTGTCGTATAACTGTTGGATGAGATGTATAATTGTCGATGGGACCCCGTAGTAGCGAAGTAGTTGCCGAAAAAAAAATCAAACTATTATTTTCTTTGATAGTTTGATTTTTTTTAAATAACTCAGTTTTCATGATGTGTAATAATCACGCATAGGTTAGTAGGGAGCTTTTCTGCCTACATTCAGAAAAGCACAATCCATGACAACAGTGATATGCCACCAACAAGATTGACTAAGAAACAACTGAATAAGCTTTAAACAGGTAAAATATTTGAAAATGTTAATTTATCGCAGTAGAATATAATCTAATGCAGTTATTTCTTAAAAGTAGCAACCCACTAGTGAATTTTAGATTGAGACTGCATCATAAAATGTACGAATACTACACACAGTTAAAGCCTTTCTGAAGGACGATGAGGAAGCAGGCGAAACCTTCCGAGGTTTTTTATCAGGATCAATTTGAAAAACACCCATTGCATCTCCGCATCTTACTTTATACTCACATCTCCTTGTTTATCAAGACACAAAGAATTACCATAGTTACAAAAATTTACGGATATGTATCAATTCACATGTTCCTGTGGTTTTAAGCACATAGGCTGTACCTACAAACTCACTCAGGCAGAGACAAGCTCTGTAGGTTAAAGGACCCTGTTGATCCAATTAAATAAAATAATATAATTTACAAAATACCCTGCAATGACTGCGAAGTAGGTCAACTACATAGGTCAAACTAGTAGATCGGGGGGGGGGCGGGGTAATCAGATTGTCGAAACATAAAAATTTAGCTAAGGTAAGAATGGTTGACCCCGAGGAGATAAGTAGTTTTAAGAAAAAAGCTCAGCAACTGCACTGCATGCATTAACATACAACCACACAATAGTGTGGGTGGGAGAGGGTCAAAATTCTAAGAATTAATACAGGTAGGCGGAGAGAGATATTGATTACTCAATCCTTGTTCATCGAGTCTACACCCAATACATGCAATAGGAATGACAGTATGCAAATACCAGAAATATGGAAGATATCATTACCACCAGACAGTCAAATCAGAGGAGGATAATAAATAGTCTAAAAATTCTATTTCAATTCAAGCACATCACAACATTCTAACAAGTCACTTATTATAACTATAAAAACACTCTTCTTATTTCCCATCTGATTGTAATTGATCATTAACACTCATGTTATTATTTCTGAATATAGATTATCCCACATTGATTTTTATTCCAATATCTAATCGATTCCACACGAGTATATAAATGAAGGAAAAAGTTGTTTGAGTGAGTAACTTGATATGATTATGAGCAATAGCTTGTGCTCGAAACGTCATCATTTAATATTACTGTATGACAGATTAACTTTCAGCGAGAAAACAACCAATCAGAAGACGCTGTTTCTCTGCTAGTAGTAACGAATAATAATGTACAAAAAAAATCTATAAATAACTCTTGATTTCCTTAATAAACGATCTGTTGTCTGGCCCCGTTACACTAATAGCTAAAATCCTGAACACACTTTTTTTCCGGTAATACTACATCAAGAGATAATTCCCTGAGTATGATGTAAAAGGTAAGGTAGATTCGCTTAAACGGATCTCACTAACCCCTTTGTACAAATGAAGTCGCCGTTATACATAAAGGAAATAGTGAAGTGTGCATATAAAAACATCTTATCCAATCTGGATTATTACTATGAACTCAAATTTGTAATTGTTTAGCCTGCTGTATCATCATAACCTTGCATGCAGTCTACTTTCATTTTGCTTAGCTACAAAGAGACCGTGACAAAAAGCTATATATTCCGAATCTCTTTCTTCGATGGATCATATTCCTCTTCCTGAGTGTATATTCCTTGTAGTGACTGTCTCTGAATGTTATTTATTACTTAATGCTTCAGATCATTTGTAATTAGTTAACTGAGTTTTATCACTTACCACTACTCATTCATGATGAACACTTTAGTATGTTTTGTTACCGAGCAAAAAATTAACCTTCAACATTTATTGACACTCGATAGTTTCATTGAAAGTAAACTGTACATCTCAAAAGTAGTTCTTTAAGATCTGTAGTGGGTATCCCTATATTCAATTTGTTGTCTTCAATATATTTGCATATAAAACAAATGGTCTCTGTCAGTGGAACGTTCGTAAATAGGGATTCTACATCCAAAGACAACATTTGTTTATTCGACGCATTTATATCCTGTATGCATTCAACAAATTGGAAGGTGTACCGAAGGGAATGATTAAACAGTTGCCCCCTGACAGGTTCGAGGATTTCAGCTAACCACCCAGCTACTGGATGATAGGGCGATCCAGACATATCCAAGATAGGGCGAAGTGGAACTCCAGCTTTGTGTATTTTCGGTAGACCATACAGTCTTGGTATTAGAGATCCTGTTGGTCTGATCTTTTCGTATAATTCTTCACGAATGAGATAGTTGTTCTTCATTCTCTTTAAAGTATCGGTAAGTTGTTTCTCAATTAATTCCGTCTTGTTTTTCTCGTTCGGTTTCGAGAATTTACTGCTGTCTGAAAGTAGACATGACATTTTATCGATATAATCTTTACGATCCATAATAACAACACCTGCACCCTTGTCAGGGCGTGTTAATAGTATATCGCTGTTATGTGTCAAAAGTTTAAGTTCTTCTTTGTGCTGGTCTACCGAAAATACACAAAGCTGGAGTTCCACTTCGCCCTATCTTGGATATGTCTGGATCGCCCTATCATCCAGTAGCTGGGTGGTTAGCTGAAATCCTCGAACCTGTCAGGGGGCAACTGTCTAATCTTTCCCTTCGGTACACCTTCCAATTTGTTGAATGTATACAGGATATAAATGCGTCGAATAAACAAATGTTGTCTTTGGATGTAGAATCCCTATTTACGAATGTTCCACTGACAGAGACCATATGTTTTATACGCAAATATACTGAAGACAACAAATTGAATATAGGGATATCCACTACAGATCTTAAAGAACTTTCGATAGTCTCTAATCTAATCCCACTGCTATGAAAAGGATTCTATTTGTTAATCTGTCTTTTTAATTTATTTTATGTCACACGAATATTCTTCACAGAATCGAATGTATGAAAAAAAATATCAAAAGATGATTGATGTACCAGCCTACTACTACCACTACTCACTTTTCGACGTCTTTTTATTACAAGGCCTGTATTACTCACTCACAAAGGGAGTTATTTTAAGATAGTTTAATTGTGAATGCCTCTCTTACACAAATTACTCCAAATAAATAACAGTTAAAACAACTCACAAGGGGCAGTCTCACAAGATGGAAAAAATTATTCTTAAAAAAATCCATCCGACTCTGTACATCATGGCAAAGCCATGTGAGTATTGCGTCTAGAGCGATACGTTCCTGAGATATATTGATTTGATCACTTTGAAATATATATGTAATTTGTTTTGTATTTAAATTGACGAAATCATTTGAAGAATAGTCGATTAATTGGAATTCATGCCAAAGAAACAAAATAGCTTTTCTGAATAGCTGGTCATCGTCAAACCAATGAGCCAAATTCATAATCTCTATGGGGGAAAAAACCAGAATGATCAATCAAATATAACGAAAGCATACACTATGAAAATCTCACCAGCATCCATCTCAATTATCACTCAACTCACTCATCCATTAAATAGTCTCAGTAGACAGAAATAAATTATTATAATGAGATCTGCTACTACCGCGTAACAGTTCAAGCTTTCTTCTATATCCTTTAGCAAAGTGTATAGCGAAGTTTGAACTAATGCAAGTGCGATTTGTTTATTTATATCAGCGTGAATCACTATGTAATACAATAAGCTTCTATGATGGTATACGCTGAGATTCCAGCAAGCTCCGATTATGATGAGAGCGAAAGCTACTCAAACGAAAACTAACAAGAAGCCTTCGTAACGACCGTGAACAGTGGTGGGTGACAAAAGCGAAAGAGATGGAAAAAGGCATCGGCGATTGGCAACACCAGACAACTACTTAGGCTTATCAGGGAAACAGGTGGTAAAAGGCAAATGATGAGTGAAACAATCTCTGAGAAAAATGGCACCATAATTAGCTCCCAGGATAGACGACTGGATCACTGGAAAGAGCACTATCAGGAGCAGTTTAATTGACCCACAGCCACGCACAACCTGCCGAACATCCAACACCTCGCTGAATGGGATATAGACACAGGTCCTCCTTCCCTAACTGAGGTTTCTAAAGCTGTCACCAATCTGAAACTAGGCAAAGCAGCGGGACCTGATGGAATGACGCCAGAGGTATTTAAGTACGGTGGAGACAGTTTACTGTCTGCATTAAGTGAGGTACTAGGCAGTGTCTGGGAATCAGAAGAAGTCCCATCGGGTTGGTGTAAGTCACTGATTATCCCCATATACAAGAAGGGAGACAAGTCTTCCTGTGATAATCACAGAGGGATTAGCTTGACTAATATAGTATCTAAAGTCTTAGGCTCAATAATCATGCGTAGACTGAGTGGTGCTCGGGAAGCACAAACACGAGAGAGCCAGGCAGGCTTTAGACCAGGAAGAGGGTGTATTGATCATATCTTCACCCTCCGACAGATTCTAGAACATAGGCATTCCTACCGGCGTCCAACAGTCATTGTATTTCTAGACCTAAAGGCAGCATTCGACTCTGTCGATCGAGAAGTTCTCTGGAGATGCTTGGCTGTAAAGGGAATTCCAAGAAAATATATTGCACTGATTAAGGCACTCTACTCGAACTCAAGCATCCAGGTGAGGGCTTACGGCGAGTTGTCATCTGATGGGGTGACAGCTAGTGATGTCCGTCCCCATTTCTATCCAATTTCATCACAGATGTACTAATGGACTCAACCCTAACTCACTTCAGAGACTCAGGGATTGACTTACTACCAGGGACTAATCTCGTTGACTTAGAATATGCAGACGATATAGTCCTTCTAGGCGAGGACGCTGACAAAATGCAGAGGTTGTTTAAAAACGATTTAATCTAGTGAACAACTCCTTACTATAGATCAAAACTTATAACTAAACCTTTTGCTTTTGTCATTATCCGACGCCATTAATTCAGTACTGCTAACTGTGAATGAGTTAAGTTTTCTGCAATCCCCACTTTGAGTTTAGATGTGACAGGATGAGAACCAAACGTCCAACCCAGTAGAATTGTTGATCAAGTCTTCAAAAAAGATTACCGTACTGATGCCAAATATGTTCCACAGTAGTTATACTGCTCTAACTTTTGTTATAATGTTACTTTGATCATCTGTCATACAACTACTCAAACAAAACTTTTTTCGACCATTCCAAGAGGTCTACCAGTAAGTAAGCGTGTAAACTAATTCTGTCCATTTTCGAAAGTACCTCCATTCTAACGGCGGAATTTACTATATACGAATACTGATCACCAAATGACTTGAATGTGGTTTAAACACCCGGTACTTTATTACGCAGCAAATTGGTTGGTACATCTTTCTATTCATATTACAGACTTGAAAGGTATGTCTTGAAGGGAGGAATTAGGCCATTGTGTTGAAACACTTAAGGTAGCTATTGTTCGGCATAAAATGAGACATCTCTATAGTATTTCAAAATAGTAAATAAACTTCTCACACTAATCATTGGCCAACAACAAAAAAGTGCCAGTGCCTAGTTCAGTTCACGAAAGTGAAAATATTTTCAATAAGAATGAATGCAACTATTATTAACACTCAACCATTTCACTGGCGGCTTAAACGACCGATGAAAAATGCTTGACGTAAATTGAATCCGAACTGTGAAGAATGACACGTATGTGAATCTCTGTGAACAGATAGTATCACTTTCTTCTGTTCAGAAAAGCTAATCTCGATCACAGATACTTTTAACTCTGTTCTCCTAACTTTGAGTTGAAAAACCTTACATTTGGTGGAAATAACAATATTTCACCATTACGTATATAGAAGATACCATATAGGGGGAAATCACGGTGACCTGAATATGCATTATCTATCCACTTTTAAACTGACTATTCTCTAGGGAACCTGAAATCAACCAGAATACGCGGAAGCTAAACAACAACATTGTGAAGTTAAATGAATTCCTGAATAAAGCACATGATGTTGTTCCACAGTGTAAAGACTATGAGACAGCAGGAAAAATGTGTAGCTACCCTGAAGATTTTCTATTCTACACAGAAGTTGGACGGCGCAGTAATCACAAGAAACGGAAGCATTTTTAAAAACGCAAATTAAATAGCTGCTTTCTTGATAACTTCCTCTGCAATCCACTTTCTTGTTTGAAAACACTTTCAATCAGTAGGTTATGAACTTGGACAAGACTTAGTCCAACAAGGTGATATCTTCGGCCCTCAGGCAATAAGAATAGCAAATTACCTAATGTGGGAACATCCTGGTTGTGCCTTAGTTACAATGAGTTTATTTCTCAATTCAGTGAGTTGTTGCTTACGACATTTCTTACTGCCTATGTGACCATTCTGCTTCGAATATTTAACTATAATACAACCTACATGCCAATAATTCCTATGGGTCTACAAGTCCAAGTGTAGAATATATGACATCTTTCTCTTTTCTTAAAGAAATTATTATAAGATTTTTATCATGAGCTGACATTAGTTAGAGAACCATTGAAAAACCTGAGAGTACTGGACAGCTGTTTCGTCCCAGTTTTCAACTCTTCATCAGTACGCACCCACCGGGATTCGAACCCAGGACCTGGTTACAAGGCGAGCTCGTATACCACTAAGCCACTGGGACTCGATCCAATGGCCCATGAATTCTAACTTCTGCCAATTCACGACATAGCGTACTGCTGAAGAGTCCCAAACTAGGACGAAACAGTTGTCCAGTACTCCCAGGTTTTTCAATGGTTCTCTAACTAATGTCAGCTCATGATGAAATCCTGTAAACCAATCAAATCCCTACAAAACAACACTTGAAAAAATTATAAATTATTTAACACCGTAATAACTCTGTGCAGACCAGTATCTGTAAACTTGTCACACACATATATGGAGTATCCATCAAGAATACATCCAGGCTTACAATAGTAAAATAAAAATAATAATAATAATACTAGATGACTTTTTACTCACTCAGAACATTGTCCACACAAAGAGTACCCTCTAAACGAGAGCTCATCATTTTTTGCAAAGAATGTACTTGCAGGAAACTTGATGCAATGTAAACATCCTGATAATCTTCAACAGGGATAGAATCATAAACTTGACCAATTGAATTGATGAAGAGCATGACATGACTGATACCAACATGAGAGACATGATCATATTTTATTTCCAATCGAGGTTCTTCTACTGACTTTTGCTGAAAACTGAATAAAGCTCTAAAATAATCACTGGAACTAGCTAAAAGCAGACGATTGGATTTGAATTCATAATCTCTAAAAACGACAGTCACGTTTGAGAACAGCCCTTTTTGGATGAGCTCCAAAATGCTCCCAGAAACTGTTTGAATATGCTCCTGAAGGAAGTCATCCATTCGCATATCAGATTCAACTGATAAGAATCCAATTTGTCATAAGTGCAGTATAGTTACCAACAAAGCGTTACTGACTAACTCTGAGAAACAAATAAGTTGAAATTGACTTAGTATACCAAATATATTTAAATTTATATATATATATATACCCGACCGAAAGCTGCTACCTTGACGTGGTGGTCGGGCTTGAACACCGCAATGACCTAATCAAGCTATACTGGCTGAGACTTATGTCTCTTGAGGTTCTACCATGCCAGGCAGGTTGTTTGGATAGCGGTTAAACAAAAAGCAGCTACCCAATCCAACATCATGTCCAATACAAAATTACAAAATTTCATGCCGGATCGGCCGTGGCCCGGATTAACAACGACCGCGCTTCCTGCTGCCGTGTCACAGGGCGGGAGTGATAAATCTGCTACTGAGACACACCAAACAAAAAAGAACAAACAAAAACAGGCCGCGTGTGACCGGCCTCAAGCAGTTGTCCCCTGGGCTCTGCGGTCACGCAACCAACTTCCACGGTGTGGGCAGCCGGGAAGTAACAATCGCCCTCACAATCCGAAATGCACACGAAACCTCTCTATTACTCACTCATCTTTGTCTTCATCTTCATCTCTATCATCTTGCCTTCCTTCCACTGATGCAACTCCTCGACTTGATAGCTCTCCACTTCCTCTCCACTCTGCGTCCACTAAAAACGATGGAAGCCAAAAAACCACCACCGACAGCCTCTTAAAGCCGCGCCACCAATTTCATATAGGAGCTCTTAATGTTAGGACACTTTGCCAAATAGGACAACAAGCATCACTAGCCAAGACCCTGGCATCACGAGCCATTGATGTATGCTGTGTTTCAGAAACACGCATACAAGACCCAAGTGTGGTTATTCACCTAACCCCACCTGGCCAACAGGTTGAATCTGCAAAATTCACCTTGAGGGTGTCAGGAGATGCCACAGCTAGTTCACGAGGATTAGCTGGCGTAGGGATAGCTTTGAGTACTAGGGCAGAAAAGACATTGCTTGACTGGATCCCGGTAGATAGCCGAATGTGTGCTGTCCGCCTGAACGGATCAGTAAGAAGGAGGAAGGACTGCACTACTCGCCGATGCCTTTTCGTAATCTCCGCCTACGCCCCCACTGACTGCAGTTCAGATGAAACGAAGGATGAGTTCTACCAAAAGCTGTCTAGTTTGGTGAGAAAGGCTAAACGCTCAGACATAGTCGTTCTAGCTGGTGACTTTAACGCTCAAGTAGGGAAATTGTGTCAATCTGAGAAGGATGTCGGTGGCACCTATGGAGTTCCGTGCCAGCGAACCGACAACGGTGACCGTCTCCTACAGTTCTGCTCTGATAATCATTTGTTTCTTGTAAGCACTAACTTCAAACACAAGGAGAGACACTGTTTGACTTGGAGACCCCCTTCATCAAACCAACGCTGGACACAAATAGACCACATAGCAATAAGCTATCGTTGGCGTGGGTCGGTAGGAGATTGTCGCTCCTTCTGGAACACGTGCGTAGATACCGACCATGCACTGGTCCGCGCTCGGGTGTGCTTACGACTGAACGGACGTAGGAAACAGCTGGCGGTAAAACCATCACGTCCCCAGCTCGATCAGGAAACTAAATCCGTATTTGAGGAAGAACTAGCTAAACACATATCTGTGTTCGACAGCTGTGCTCACCCTGAAGAAGCTTGGAAAAATATCCAGGCAGCCATAGATACAGCTGTAAAAGCTGTGAATAAGGTAAACCCAAAGGTGAGTAAAAACCACTGGATCTCCACCGCCTCATCCGAACTGATAGATGCTAGAAGACTTATTCCGGCGAGCTCCGAATTCAATGAGGAGCGAAAGCTGCACAAGAGGAAACTTACGAAAAGTCTCCGCAAGGACCGTGAACAGTGGTGGGCGACAAAAGCCAAAGAGATGGAGAAAGCTTTGAGGATAGGCAACACCAGGCAACTCTTTGGACTCATCAGGGAAACGGGTGGGAGAAGACAAATCATTAGTGAGACAATCTCGGAAAAAAATGGCACTATAATTAGCTCCAGGATAGACGACTGGATCGTTGGAAAGAGCATTATGAGGAGCAGTTTAATTTGCCCACAGCCACGCTCAACCTTCCGAGCATCCAACACCTCCCTGAATGGGATATAGACACAGGTCCTCCGTCACTAACTGAGGTTACTAAAGCTGTCACCAATCTGAAACTAGGCAAAGCAGCGGGACCTGATGGAATGACGCCAGAGGTATTTAAGTACGGTGGAGACAGCTTACTGTCCGGATTAACTGAGGTACTAGGCAGCGTTTGGGAATCAGAAGAAGTCCCATCGGGTTGGTGTAAGTCACTGATTATCCCCATATACAAGAAGGGAGACAAGTCTTCCTGTGATAATCACAGAGGGATTAGCTTGACTAATATAGTATCTAAAGTCTTAGGCTCAATAATCATGCGTAGACTGAGTGGTGCTCGGGAAGCACAAACACGAGAGAGCCAGGCAGGCTTTAGACCAGGAAGAGGGTGTATTGATCATATCTTCACCCTCCGACAGATTCTAGAACATAGGCATTCCTACCGGCGTCCAACAGTCATTATATTTCTTGACCTAAAGGCAGCATTCGACTCTGTCGATCGGGAAGTTCTCTGGAGATGCTTGGCTGTAAAGGGAATTCCAAGAAAATATATTGCACTGATTAAGGCACTCTACTCGTACTCATACAGCCAGGTGAGGGCTTACGGCGAGCTGTCATCTGAACTGATGACGACCAGTGGTGTCCGTCAAGGATGCCCATTATCTCCTTTTCTATTCAACTTCATCATAGATGTGTTAATGGACTTAACCCTAGGTGACTTCAGCGATTCAGGGATTGACTTGCTACCGGGGAATAATCTCGTTGACTTGGAATATGCAGACGATATAGTCCTTCTAGGCGAAGACGCTGACGAAATGCAGAGTCTTCTAAACACCTTGAGCCGCAATCTACGAATGTTTGGCATGCGATTCGCTCCCGCCAAATGCAAGATGATGTTACAGGACTGGACTACATCGACGCCTAGTTTAAAAATAGGAAGTGAAGTGGTAGAGCACGTTGACCGCTTCACTTATTTGGGAAGTACCATCAGCCCCAACGGGCTGATCTCTGACGAAATCTCAGCACGAATACAAGGGGCTCGTTTCGCATTTGTTAGTTTACGCCGACTCTGGCGTAGACGAGATGTTCGACTATCGACCAAAGGGCGGGTGTACTGCTCATCAGTCCGCTCCGTCCTCCTTTATGGTTGTGAGACCTGGCCACTGAGAGTGGAAGACATGAAAAGACTAGCTGTCTTTGATCATAGGTGCCTGCGTTCTATTTCCCGTGTAAAGTGGCATAATAAGGTGAGCAACATGGAGGTTAGGCGTAGAGTTCTAGGTAAACAGGGGAAATCAATCGACGAAGTCGTGAAGCTACAAAGACTGAGATGGTTAGGACATGTGTTACGTATGCCAAGCCATCGCCTCCCTCGACGAGCAATGTTAGCGGATATAGGGTCAGGCTGGAAAAAAGCTAGCGGCGGTCAAACAAAAACTTGGCATCAGTCAATGAAATCCACAACAGTTGGTCTAAGCCACGTAGGAAGGTGTAGACTTCCAGGCTGGGGTCCTCGGGACGGTAAAAATCTATGGTTGGAAACAATTGGTGACATGGCTCAAAATCGTTCTCAGTGGCGCAGATGCATCCACTCCCTGTGACTTATGATCTTCAATGAAACTGTTTTGTATTTCTTTATTACTCCTTTGTCTCACACCTCTGCTCACTGTTTCTATTATGCTTTTCTTGTACTTTCTTCTCTTGCTTCGCGTGCTACACGGAATGTGGCGACTTGAACTTCCGCACATTTGTGCAAAGTTCTATGTCGAAAACAGACAGATATAACCAACCAACCAACCAACAACAAGCACCACTGTCAACGGAATAAATTTGAAAGAGGCGATCTTCTTCACTTATTTAGGCAGGCAGCATTGTTTCAACCACAGACAGTCGACACAGATGAAGATGTCAAAGCCAGAATCACAAAGGTAAGGTACACATTCATCACTCTGGAATCAGTTTGGATGTCTTCCGCACTCATCATAAAGAACAAAATTCGGATTTCTAACAGCAATGTTGGTCAAATCAGTTCTTCTATTTGGATCACGAACTTGTACTGCGCGTTATGGAGAGCATTCTCAACAGTTTGTTGCAGAATTTAATCAACAATTGTCTTCGCCGGCTTCATAGTGAAGATCAGATGGCCAGAAAGAATTAGCAATAAGAAACTATGGGAACAAACTAACCAAGAAGCTATTGCTCGATAAATATGTAGGAGAAAATAGAGATGGATCAGACACACTTTGAGGAGACAGTCAAATGACGTCGTACGCCAAACCCGAAAGGAAAACTGAGAGTTGGGAGTCCGAAAGTGACATAGAGGAGATCGTATGAGGTAGAGATGAGGGACTGGGGGAAGTCCTGGGGCCAGCTAAAGAGGAAAGCAGAAAATAGGACAAATTGGAGATTTGCTGCTAGAGCCCTATGTTCCATTCGGAACCCAAGGAAACAACAATAATAATGATAAAACAGGCGTTCTACTAGTGTGCCTTTCATTGGACTAACTTTTGAGTCAAATTATTAGGGAATTATTTGATTTTGTAATTCTTTTAATTACAGTCAGAGAAGTTGAACTTTCACGTATTTTTAAGTGTATACATGTTCATAGTATTCTAAACTCATAATTCCTTTTTAAAGCTATTTTTCTCACACATTATTCAAAGCAGCGATATCACGAGATCTCCTTCAGAACTGTCTTAGTCAGTGATGGTCACTTTATTTTTACCTAAAACACAAACTTAGTACGATATGGGTACCAAGAGATGCGCCACAAAAAAAAAACAACGAGACAACGACATATAAGGAAAGTAGGTATAGAATGAATGAGGGATGTCATCCAGACAGCAAACAAGCATATTTGTCAAAGTCACTCAACATCAAATACTTTATAGTACCTTCTTAAAACGAAGAGAGACGGAAGTTGCAGCATGTTCACCATTGATTACGACCCTTGGATATCTCACATAACGTTTCGAGCCACCGATTCGAACTATCTCTTGGACACCAGCCAGGGAGTCTTGGTGTGCCAACTGATGCTAATCTAGCACAAATATTCTCCGTCCGACAGCGCAACGTCATAGGCTGACCACCCCTCTACTTCCTCTATCCAGCCCCAGGGCTAGAGAGCAGAGACTGGTATGGAAACGTCTGGGATGAAATTCGTAGCACATATCCAAGCCATAAGAGCTGGTATTTCCAAATGACAACAGTCGATGAATTGTGATATTCACTGTATCCGAACACACGCTGCCGAACCTCAGAATTACTCACACGATGATGATATCGAATGCAAGAAATTCTACGGAGACAGCAATGGTCGAATACTCAGGGTCTTTGCACATCCTCATCTCAGAGAGGCCGGGTTTTACACTCGTAGAGCAAGACAGCACTCACCGAAGCGTTGTAAACCTGACCTTTGACAGTCAGACTAACTTCGAAACAGCAACAGAGGTGGTTACAATTGGCGCATGCCACCCTAGCTATTATGATACGGTTAGAAATCTTGTCCGCCACACCTCCACCAGCACTCACAAAACTACTCAGATGCACGAATGTATAGACAACTTCAAGCAGTTCAATCTGCAAGGGTGAGTGCAGGTACAGACTCCTGCCAATCTTGTAACAGTACTTCTCACTCAGACGGCGCAAAGCACATACCATACTTACAGAAACTGATCACCAACCGACTGATTGGAACTTGCCCAGCCTACATGCTATCGCATAGTAAGACGATATCATATGCATACTCGAGGTCGAGGTCTTTCCCCAGGAGGAAGATCTGTACCACCACCACCACTGCGCACGTCCTACAGAGCTGACTCCAGAATGTCATGGATAGCAAAGTTAAGGAGAAATGAAGATATTCCCAACCAACCCCAGTGTTGGTTGATAACAGTGGTGATACGTGAATGTGTGCCCTTATTCAACCTGAGGTATTTCTGTATAGGACTTTCAGGATGTTAACAAACTTCACAGGTACACCTCGCTTTGACAGATAGTCCCAGAGTTTGGTTTTATCCAGAGAAACGAAGGCAACCTTAATATCAAGAAACACAACAATTGTAGGTCTGCAATGCGTGTAACGTTCTGGCAAATGACGAGTGATGAATACAAGGTCAACGCATCCATTGACTGGACAAAATCCAGTCTGCTCTTTGCGGATCAGTTTTGCACAGCCTGCAAAGTAGCACAGAAGACAATATTTTAGACGCGATTGGTAGCAAACTAACACCCCGAAGATTGCCACAGGAATTACGTCAGCTCTTTTAAAAGATGAGATGGCTTCATTGCACACTGATGGAACATTCTCGCTTTCCCACACTTTCCTGAACAGTCCAGTCAATGTTCTTATGAGAATCTCACCATCATCTACAAAAAACAGCCAGGGTTAGGTTGACTGGGACAGGTGCCATAAAGCGTTACGCATTTTAGAGTTGTAAGACCGTTTACGTTTCAGCAGATACTACGCTGAAATAGAAAAAACATGATGGCACATAACACAACCTAACAGATGAGACGATATTTGTTTAATTCTTTTTAGGTGAAGGCTATTGATGCCATCTTCCAATCTAGTCATTCGAAAGAATAAGCGTATATATATATATATAGTACAGGAAGAGAACTCATCATTGGTCTAGAGGCTGGCGATCGGTGCAATGAACGAGAACAGAGAATTATTCGCAGGCTTCCGCGCTTTCAGTGATTTGGTAATCGGAGTCAGCGTGTACAATCACAAGGATATACACAAGCCAAGTGATATGGATCCTGCCTGACGGACACACCATAAACCAGATATATTTCATTTCAGTGCTGCTCAAGCAAGTGGAGGGGCAGCTAGCCTGCTGGGCACAAATTCAAGGAGGGGAGCAGATGTGGGCAGGTTCAGGCCATCATCTAGTTCAAGGAACCTTCAAGGTGAAGCTAAAGTCCCTGAAAACAAATGGAGACAGACCACAACTCAAGTTCAACATTCAGAAACTGAAAGACAAAACTACAAAGGATGCCTTCATTACAAATCATATCAGAGCGAAGTCGGAGGCACTACCTGAAGGCACTGAGGAAAATTGCGTAGAACATTGCAGCTCTCTGAAGACGATATTTAAGGAAACGTATACAACTGTTCTGTGAAGAAAGAAGAAACAAGATGAGTAATGGCACTCAACGGACACTTACCTGGCATCTAATAGAGGAGAGGAGGATGGTGAAAGAGATGACTCAATGCAAAGATGGGCTACAGAAGGAGAGGTTCAGTTCAGTGTAAATTGCACTGAATAAAGAAGTGAAGAAAGGTGCTAGGAAAGACGAAAGACAATTCTACAACACACCGGCTGGTAACTGAAACAGAAGAGACAGGCAGGCTGCAGGTGAAAGAGACCTCAGGACATTATATCAAATAACTAGGTCTTTATCTATGAAGAAAGCAACCTAGATGATGCAACCAATAAAAGATGTTCAAAGAAAGCAGATTACCAAAGAAGAGAAACAAATCAAACAATAGGCTGATCACTTTAAAGGACTCCTGAATCGACCACCACCGGCAACTCGCCCAGAAATACCACCACCACTGACAGCACACACAGAACTGCTTGTCTGTGGACACCAATCCTCCAATGAAAGCGGAATTCCTAAATTCGATCAAGTTACTGAAGTCCGGAAAGGCAGCAGGACCGGACCAAAACACTGAAAACGGACCCAGAGACCGCGGTAGATGTGCTCATGCTATTGCTGTAAATGTTTAGAAAGAAGGAAAGGCACCTACCGATCGGAAGGCTGGCTACCTTGTCAAGCTGCTAAAGAAGGGTGATTTAGGCCTCACTCTGCAAGAACTGGCGTGGAATAATGCTCTTGTCCACGCCAAATAAAATACTAAGTCGCATCATCCTGGAGAGAATAAGAGATGCACTGGATAAGGAACCCCACCACCCACCGGAACAAGCTGGATTCAGGAAAGGCAAAACATGTGCTGATCAAATTGTAACTCTACGCACCGTCATCGAACAAAGCATAGAATGGCAGTCAACTCTCACTCTACATCAGCTTCATCGACTTCAAAAAACCTTCAACAGACGGTGTCGAACGAGAACTAATTCGGAAACTGCTTCAGCGCCAACGGGTGCAGTGCCCAAATATTTATCAACCTTATTCAACAACTGGCTAAATAACAATAGCACTTGTCAGGGGATCCACAACGGGAAACTCAGTGAGGCGTTCGAAGTGCATACAGGAGTAAAACAAAGCTGCCTATTACCACCGACTATGATATTCTTAATTGTAGTGGACTTGATTATGCTTCAGATTGTGGGGAGCTAGGTGACAGGAATACGCTGCACCACAGATAAAAAGACTCTGGAAGATCTGCATTTCGCAGATGATATATGTCTAGTGTGACACAAACTCGAAGACTTACAAGCGAAAAGCGATAAACTGGTTGAAGAGCCTGGGAGAGAAGACAGGACTCCATGTGAACATAGAGAAGACGGAGGTGATGAAGATAACCAACGGATCGTAACAACAACAACAACCAACACCAATCACCATCAACGGGAGAGATTTAACAGAGATTGCTTCCTTCAGTTATCTAGGGAGCATCGTTTTAACCACAGGCAGGTGAAATGCATGAGATGTCAAAGTCAGAATCGGAAAGGCAAAATACGTCTTCATCAACCTGAAACCAGTTTGGAAGTCTTCTGCACTCAGCCAGCATGAGGAACAAGATTGGGATTTTTAACACCAATGTTGAGTCAGTCAGTACTTCTGTATTGATCAGAAACCTGCAATGGGTGTTACGAAAAGGATTTCCAACAGGCAGTTGCAGACCTTTATCAACAGCTGCCCACTTAGCTGGCTCTTTACTGAAGATTAAATGCCCAGAAATAATTAGCAACAAGAAATTCTGGCTTGGAAAAAACCAGCCGAGCACAATTCTCAACAAATATGTGGGAGAAAATGGAGATGAATAAGATATACGTTGAGGAGGCCGTCGAATGAAATCGCGCGCATTGCAGGCCATCGCTCGAGTGGAATCCAACTGAGAAGCGACCAGTGGGTCATTCTAGGGTGACATGGATGAGGTTGTGTGAGGAGGAGATGAGAGACTATGGTCAATTGTGGACCCATCTGAAGAGGATGGCAGAAAATAGAGGAAAGTAGAGATGTTATGAAGACCTATGTTCCACTAGAAACCCAAGGGAATAATAATAAATACGACCAAACACATAAAGCATAATACCTAACTTAACACTCAAGAGTAATGTGCATTGAAAGAACTGAGGAACAATAGCAACAATGGACACAAAGGACTACACGAAGACAGCAGATGATTTACCCAAAGATAACAATATGTATCAGCGGCTGATACAAACCCTATACAAACAGTGGATAATAAAATTAAAACCATGTTAAATAAACGGACAAAATAAGGAAAAATTGAAAAAGAAGATCGATGGCGACTGAAAGCTCACGGACCTGTTCTCATCTCGATTTTACGGTAGACCAAAACTACACAGACCAAATATTCTCATACGACGAATCGCTTCGCTATCAGGAATACCAACATACCTGTTCCAAGATGTCAAAAAAACTGAAATGTCTAGTAGAATCATGTAACTATTCTATCAATTCACTATTCTAACTTTTAGGGAAAATCAAAGACGCCCAGGCCGATAACAGTGGAATCCTTTTGACACTACAGCATCAAGCATTTTAATTGGACAAAACTGGTAATAGAAAGTAAGCAACAGCTACTCTATGGTGATGAACACAAAAACAATGTTCAAGCCAAATGGACCTCATAGAGTGATGTCTTATAACGCCTTCAATCAAATGGTTAAATAAACGAACAGATAAAAGGAATATCATCTATAGCAGGATTAATTGCTGAAGCCGTTATGTGAAGACTGGAAACTCGAATGCACTCACAAACTAATCAACGTGTTTGAAAGCACTCTCATTACAAAGGAGGAAGAATGAGACAACAAAATTCCTATTTTATGTAACATTTAAGAAAAATATGGAATGTCTAGATACAGGTATACAGGAAATCAACCCAAACAGACTAAATACTCAACTACAGCAGCAGTAATCCAACAGCAACCAAAAGAAACTGTGTACAAACGTCATTCAAAACAGTAAAAACACATTGCAGCAATCCGGTCTTGATGAGGACAGAATATTTATCAACTGTCTTCAAGAAAAATTGATATTATTATAATTACATCCTCTAATTCCTAGAGGAACATAGGGCTTCAGCTGCGCATCTCTATTGCCTACGGTTTTCTGTCAACTTTTTCACCCCACTCCAAGTCGGCCCACATGCTTTCATCTCCTCTTCACATGACCTCTTCCAAGTCACCCTCGCACTGACGACCAACTCGCCGCTTCCCTTTCGGGTTCCATTAGAGCGATGGCTTGTCTAGTGATGTCACTTGATGGTTTCCTCAGAGTATGGCCACCCAATCCATCTCCATTTCTTTCTGCCTATTTGTTTCACAATTGGTTCCTGATGGGTTGGTTCGCTCATTGCCAGAGATCACACCCTGTTTTTGATCTTTTCTGGCCGGCCATCTGATCTTGAGTGGTATTGAGCGAAGACAACTGTTAATGAAGGTCTGAAGTTTGTTTGAGATGCTCTTTATGACGCGCTGGCCAAGTCTCTGATCCGAATAGTGAGTAGCACTGACTTTACATTGGAGTTGAAAATCCCGATCTTATTTTCATTTTGATGGTGAGTGATGTTGACTTCCACACAGACTTAAGGGTAATGAAAGCTTGTTTTGCTTTTCCAATTCTGGCTTTGATATCTTCGTCAGTTGATACTCCCATAATTTCATCAATAATTTTCCATACTCGGAACCATTCTTAGAAGCCAAAAGGGAATTCATCCCACCACATACAATGTTTCTGAAGTAACGACTATAATGCTAAGGTGGGCATTCACTTCAAGGACATAAAAAATATCTGTTAAAATACACGTATCTATATTGACTCATGTGGACAAATACGGACGCCAGTTTGACTGGGAATATTTAGGAATCTTAAACAGTGAGAAAATTAAAAGTGCCAATGAATGCTTAGAAACCTGGTATCCACAAAAACCAGCAATAAGAGACCTTAAGCATTATACTCACCGACTAATAAAGAATAGGCCACATGATATAAAATTCAAGTTTGAAGTCGGTAAAAAACGAGGAATACTGATGCGAACTGACGACAGAGACGAGGGTTATTAAGAAACACAACTAAATCATTCAAGAAAAATTCCAAAAAATCACCTTAACATCCTGAGGGTTATTAATCTATTGGATACGATTTTTTTCATAAATTCTTGCTCCAATTCATCATATCATGATCACCAGTTGTCATTCGATTCACTCAGCTAGCAGAGCAAACGATTTCATCAAAAAGTATCAGAATTTTTGAACACACCCAAATTTGTACAAAATGTTTACCTAAAGTCATCAGGATGCCGTCAGTGAGCTCAAAGATACTGATTATAAACTGACGCCATATGTGATTTCACAAGTGCAAAAAATAGTGGCCGTACTTATTTATTATTTTGCTCAGCTTTTAAATAAAAATAACCCCAACAGTTTTTAAGTGATCGAAATAAACACAAAATTCTGACAATGCTTATAACCTGCAGTTTGTGGCAAGCAATATCTAAATCCCTGTTTTGTGATTTCCATCATTGATACACAATCTACTCATGTAAATATCATAGGCTTGATTTGAAAAGTGTTCAATTTAACTGCAGTTTATCTCCGCCCGTTATATATATATATATATACGTTGATATGCGATCGCATATAGCTTTTTTAAAAACCCACTAGATTCGAGGGATATTGGGATATATCAGGTAGATAACTTTGAGGGTGAGACAAGTTTACGGGCTTTCAGTGAAATTCGGGCGAAGTGCATTGGCTTAAGTCTTTTGCATAACGCCGTTATAATTTCCATATTGCACACCTCAAAATTGTCGTGACTTAAAGAGTACTACAGTTTACAGTGAGCCACAGTTGACCGATATCAAGGATACAAACCAATAGTATTAACTTATGCCAACTGTGTTTACTATCGTTATTACATTCTCCTCCATTGTATATATAGACATATCTTCTTTCAATGAAAACAGTATATTATTATAAGTTTCTTTTTATTGTTATATAAGGGAATTGACTTCAAGCTTTATTTTTTCCCAAGTATCCGTAATCCCTCCGACGAATACTTGGGTTTTTTTTTAATGCGAAGTCAATATCCCTATATCTCCTAATGTGGTCTATAGAATCAGTAGTTGTCATGTTTTTTACCAAAACTGAAGAAAAAATGACAGCAGCCGCAATTCATGTAATTGAAACAATACAATTGGTGTTTCCTACATAGCTATTAAAAATTATGTACCTTATTATATATTATTATATGTATTATTATTCTATATATTAGTATTCTATATATTATTATTAATATTAAATGGTGAGTTTACTTTTGCATTCATCTGCCTTCATTACAATATGCGCACCTATCAATATACGTATTGCAAGACTTCCCTTCTTCCAGTGTACCTGTTTTCCTATCTAATCGTCGTACATTATTTACAGATGACTAAGCAGTTCCTGTTAGTCCAGTTACCTGTCCAGAATAAGATTTTGGTTGTTAGCGAGGTAGCGGTGGCTGGTGAATACTTGCTCCTGCCTCGGTCGTATTCATCTGATGATGCCATTGCACATGCAGAGGTAGTTAACGGTTCAAGCCCGATGGCGTACAAGTACACCCTTATGGGACGCTTCAGTAACGTCAACTCTTTTATAATGTTCTTTTTCAGATGATTTTGACCAGGCATTTTCATTGAAGACAGCAATTGAAGGTTTGCAAAGAACAACGGGTGACTCGTCATCTGAGAACACGGAGCCTTCAAGCCAATGCAGGGTAAACCGGTAAGCTATTATTCATGACTCATCTTCCCAGTGTTCCAAAGCCACCAAAAAAACTTGTGGAGAATGCTGCTCCGTTGAGCTACCCTTCTCGGGTGTTGGCTGACCCGGATTTTCAGTTGGAGACACCTCCTTATCGAAATCCACCCATTGTGGATATAAATGAAAGGTATATTACAGTTAACTTAATTTCATTTCAGCTTGTCGCCTGTCGCTTCCACATCAAATGCCAACATTCCCTTTCCCGTGAACATGTAAGTTCAATTAAATTTAAAAATATTACTGGCAGGTGCCCAAGCGGTGACGAGAAAGGTCCTTGTACCTCTGGCTGTTGGAAAGAGATAAGGGCTTTACGTTCAAGCATAAACTCCTTCCAGGCACGTCTTTCTGACCTTGAGGCTAAATTCTCGCAAGTAAACGTTGTCGACAGTATTGACACTAATATCTCGTGTGTCAATTTCGCTCAAACTTTAAAAAGTTCTGGCAGATGGCAGTTAGACAGCGACGCTGTCATGTCATCGTTTGAGGCCAAACTCTCCCAGGACGAATATCGTCAAGATGTGTCGGCGGACCTTGCCAGTTTGGTTGACGGGGACGTGCAAACCTCCGTCGGTCGCATTATGAATGTGTTGTTGGAGCCGAACTACAGCTCACATTTTTCATGGGCCGGCACTAAGGAGAAAAAGAAGTTCAAAGACACGAAGACGTGTAACCTAGTGATACGTAGGTGACATTTTTTTCATTGTTGTCTCTCTAGGAACTATTAGCAGTTTACATAAACTGGGTAATACTGACCGACGTACCACAGTGGCGGCTATCACGGCTTCAATTCAACGTTGGTTCCATAACAGTCGGGACAGACTGAAGTCGAGAATTAGAAAGCGACGGCGTTCCCCATTGGTAGGTCCTAATTTTTTCCTATCTTCATTTTTCAGATCACCGTCGACGTCAACAAAGAAAACCTACCCGACGCCGAAAGCACACGTGTGAATTTCCCTGGTGATTTATAGGATGTTCTACATTAGAAAGTTATCTGAAGATTGTAAATTTTTTGGTCAAGATTATTAAATATATTTTCAATTAAAATCAACTGCTTTTTGTTAATGTGAGTCGTTGAGCTACTGCCAGTTTATTGTTTTCTGAGACGACCTGTGTGCGTAATAGATTCAAATCTGATTTAATTGTCGACTAATAGTTAAATGAGGAACCGTAGACACGTTATCCCAGGTCGCAGTTAGTCATATTAAGTAAGGGCGCATTGCAGACTTTTCGGGGCAGACTTCGGGCAAATTGCAGAATTTTTGGGGCAGACTTAGGGCGCATTGCAGAATTTTTGGGGCAGACTTAGGGCGCATTGCAGACTTTTTGGGGCAGACTTAGGGCGCATTGCAGACTTTTTGGGGCAGACTTAGGGCGCATTGCAGAATTTTTGGGGCAGACTTCGGGACAGTGTCCCACGTAAGTAGATTTACCCGAAGTTTTTTGCCCCGAAAATTCTGCAATGCGCCCGAAGAAAATGCTATCGATAAATGGATCTCATGTCCGCATGCACGAAACAAGTACTAAGATGCACATACTTACTGAAAATTAACAGGAATTCCAACTTTCCTGATTTCTTCAAGCAAGAAAGGAAAAGGAAGCATGGACAATAATAGTAAGTCCACAGCGGAACGGTGACCTTGAGATAAGCAACAGATGAGAATACCCGCCTCTAATACTTTCACAATTGAAGGAGGGATATGACTTAAGGTGAAAAGACTGAAATTATTGCTCAACACATTGGCTGTTACGTTTATCCTGCAGTTGTTCACAACTTTACCTTGCTGCACATGGTTCACGAATGTTGTGTTTCACCTAATTTTTTTTGATCAAAATTTTCTCCAGCGACAGCTAGCAGAAACGCCAGGGATCGTGCACATAGCACGCATGATGTCAGACCAATTCCTTGCTGGTATAGTGAACACCTTACAACAGGGAAACTGCTTCTTCCCCGACAGATAACAAACACCTTATACACACCTAATACCAACAGTAATACCTTAGATTATCATTTTAGTATTTCCCTTAGCACGCAATATCTAAACGACCAACTACACACAAGTGACATTTCACAACCCATCCCTAACTATCAAATTAAAGAAAACGTCTCTAGTGATCAAAATGTTGTAATTAATGAATTCGACAACTGCACGTATTCAGTTGATAACCATAGAGTATTTTATTATGATATTGCCCATACACTAAAACCACTTCGTCAAAGTCTATCCGTCATCCTCATAAATGCTAGATCAGTTCTTAACAAACATTTAGCATTATGTACGTTAGCCTCTATATGCAATCCGTCGCTGATCATGATCACTGAAGCCTGGTGCTCAAGTGATATTGCGGATGGTAGCTTATCAATTGATAAGTACAATCTTTTTCGAGGGGATAGGGAAACAGGTCGTGGGGGTGGAACACTCATATACGTTAAACAACCCATTTGTGCAACGCATTTTAGTCACCCTATTCTGTCACAACTTAATGATTCGGTGTGGGTCGAAATAAAAGTTCTCAGAAGTAAACCTATCCTTATAGGGTGCGTATACCGACCGCCATCATCCAACCGCGAATACGATAACGTACTCAGCAACATATTTAGTGTTGCATCCAATCTTCCCTTCAGTTATAATATAATTGGAGGTGACTTCAATTTGCCTGATATATCATGGCGTACACTTCGTGGACCCTCGAGGTATGATAATCTTCTTAATTCCATCATTACTGGAGGATGGACGCAACACATAAATGTACCCACTAGGTCCAATAACATTCTTGATCTTATATTCACGATCAACGTAGCACCATCTACAATTCATGTGGGACATGAATTCCCAGGTAGCGATCATAAAATAGTTGCATGTTCGTTTAATATTTCTCCAGAAACTATACACAGAAACGAAGTTAGTCGGACACCTATAAGACCATACACGCGGGTTGATTGGGACTTGTATCAGGACTTGATTAGATACTCTAATTGGGATTCCTACTTTACCAATGACTCCTTAGAGGAAGTCCTTAAAAACTTCTATGACAATATACAGTCGGTTAATGATGTCATAGCGCCTGTGAAACTGATTAAATTCAAAATCCCTCAAGGTGATTTTATTCCAATATCATTAAGAAGAAGTTTGCGGAAGCATTCATTAAGTTACTATAGACATGACGACTTATCGTCGTTAATCGCTATCAAAACAATCCTCATTAGAATCCATGAGTTAAAAAATCTAAGTCTTAGGAATAAAGAAACGCGGGCAATTCAGTCGCCACATAACACTGGAGAAATAGCCAAACTCTTCAAAAGTAGGTTAACTAACTCCAAATCAACATATCCAAAAATAATACACCTAGGCGGCATTACTCACGAAAGTGCTGAGGATATATGTGAGGTGTTTAGCACGCACTTTGCCAAACTGTACACTCTAGAAAATGACCAGGATATAGATTTCCCTCGTAAAACAGAAAAGTGTCTAAGCGATGTAGTCTTAAACGCCCAAGAAATCGATAAAGCTATCACAACTCTTAAGCTTACTAATACTCCCGGCCCAGATGGAATGTCTTCCGTCCTCTTAAAAAATGGTGGAAATGACATGAATCTACTTCTTCTCAAGATATTTTCAACTTCGATAAGGAGTGGAACATATCCAAATAGCTGGAAGAAATCCTACGTTGTACCCATTCACAAAACCGGACCTACAGCGGACATAGATAATTACCGCCCCATCAACATTACTTCCGTAGTTTCACGTGTGATGGAAAAGATTGTAAAGAAGCAAATTGTTCAGTATTTGCTCTCGAATGACTTAATATCCCCTTTCCAATACGGTTTCCTAAATAGAAGATCGTGCATTACGTGCCAGTTAGATTATTTCGATCACATTACTGAATGTGTAGACAAAGGTCGTTCGGCAGCAACATTATTTCTAGATGTTAGGAAAGCTTTTGATAAAGTCCCACATAAAGACTCATACTGAAACTCCTATCTTATGGAATAAGTGGAAGGCTTCTTGAGTGGATAACTTCCTTTCTTACAGGAAGAGAACAGTTAGTTAAAGTCAACCATCACTTATCAACATCCAAACCGATAACCAGCGGCGTGATACAAGGTAGTGTTCTTGGCCCTACCCTATTCATTGTATTCATAAATGATATTGTCTCTATGATCAAGTATGGCAAGCCATACCTCTTTGCAGATGACCTCAAAGTTGTCTATGATTTCGACTATAATGATATGAATATTGTTAGTAAAATCCAAGAAGACCTAAATAGTCTATGTAATTGGAGTGAAAAGTGGCAGTTAACGTTCAATCCAGCTAAGTCTGGGATAACATACTTCGGACGTTGGAAACCTAGCATGTATCTATACATGTACGGTGACCTTGTCTCAAACACGAACACAGTCACAGATCTCGGGACAGCATACTCAGATCTTACCTTTACTGAACATGCAAATAAGGTGGTATCTGATTGTAAACGTCTAACCGGCTTTGTGCTACGCAACTTTTACACTCCAGAAGCCAGATTAGCCATATATAAGATATGCATTCGCCCCAAACTTGAATACTGTGCCCAATTATACAGTAGCTTTAAATCAGCATACAGAAAAAAGTTGAAAGTGTTCAAAGATTCCTTACGAAACGCATATTAGGCTGTGATCAGCAAATAGAATACCTTGACAGATGTATTCGACTGGACTTAGAGCCCTTATGGTTAAGGAGAGTGAAGTGCAATTTATTTCTCTTATTCAAAGTTATAAGAAAGCACTGTAACAGTAACTCGTCCATAACCTGGGCTAATCCTAAATCGTATGGACTACGCAACCATAACTACCTTCTCAAGGTTAACACCCATAAACTCACCACTAGAGCTAACTTCTTCACCATTAAATATTGCAAACTTTGGAACCAACTACCCTCTGAGATAAGATCCTGTGAAAGGCCTGACAGTTTCAAAAGGAGCCTAGAAAAACATATAAACATGTCCACCCTAGCCCGTCTAAAAGATCTCAACTGCTGGTAGAGTGGTGAGACAATGACATTTCAATATTTAACTACAGAAAGTACACTAGTTCCTGGACCAACATAATAATGCTTAGTAATTATGCATGTTCAATACTTGAAATTAGATTGTCATTAAAATACTTAAAATGATTAAAATATTTACGCAGCAAATGTTCTCTTGGTTTACCACGCTTATTTCCCTTATAACACTCAGTTGTTGAGCCTAATGTATTCTTTGATAATACGAATTATAACATTGATTATACTCTTATCATATATGGATTGATTTACTTTATGGCTCCCCGTAAGACTAAATACCCTTCTGCAGTATTGTTAACCAAATGTTAAAGTTTTGTTGGTCCAGTGTTAATATCTTTTTATAAAATGTGTAGGCAGGTTACTTTGCAATGTCAAATGTTTACTATATATAAGACTGTCATGATAATTTAGTACACTAAGTCCTGCCAACCGACCTTACCTTCAGTTCATACTGCCTACAATGAACCCTAACTATAGTGTTCTGCTGAATCTTGCTGCACTATTCACAATACCTATTCTTTTTACTCTTTAAGTTTTTAACTCCTTATAAAGTAATCTGTTCATTAGGACGCATGCATACAAATATAATATGTTCATAAGGACATACGTGGAGACCGACTGGAAGCACTCATTAAGAAGGCTACGGAAATGGAATATGAGGTACGAACATGTCTGGTACCAAGCAATATATTTGCGGTAGCCATAATAATCATAGTCTCAGAGCTTAACATCAAAAAAGAGGAAGGGTGGCGCTAGCTGATCGGTAGATATGGTGGTGGTCACTAAGGTGAATCACCCCATTCTGCAGGAACAGCAATATGCAATTTGACTGCTCGAGATGTTTCTGACTTTTATGTGGGCTTAGATCTTTATCTTGAAAAAGATAATAATGAACGCCTAGATAGATCATGCTTCTGACTTTAAATATATACCATTCGCTCAGCCTATTGTTGAGATGCGACCATGTGGGATGTGCACACATTTATGGGGCATCTTATAAACTAACTTGCTGTCCATTATCGGATCTTTAAATACCACTTCACAATGTCTCATCTCACTTATTTTCTAATAACGTCTTTACTTGATCCTCATTATATTCCATTAAACCTAAAATTTTATAGCTCTATATGAATTCGGTTAGACTTATACTATTCCTATTCTCTTTTGGGTACGTTTGTGCACCAAATGCACAAAAAGGTATGAAATAAAAAAATGGCATGAGGATAGATGTATTAAAACCAAACATCATGATAGTAAGACATATATGGGTAGCATTATATATTGCAAATGCACGTCAGCCTAGGGATTGTCCTTTTTAAATTCAATTATTAATGATACTTGCACCTACCTATTTCATTGCACTTTATTGATTCACCTTAGCACTTTTAATTTTCTAAAACAGCTTTCAACCCCTTGTAAATGTTGTACTTACCTTAATATTGGTTGGTTATCGTATGCCTACAACCACGAGATAAAAACGAAACGAAGTCGATTTCCTGGCGAAACCTGGAGGACAACTGTACAATTCAATAACTATACAGCCCAGTTCAGACAATGAGTGTATTTATATATATATCAAATATTTAACTGTTGAAACATTATTAACTTGTAAACAGTCTACGATTTGATATTATAT